ATATGAGCTTTGCCCCCATTTTACGACTTCTGTTGCCCCAGTTGCTAAGTGAATCATTGCATTTGTTAATGCAGTGGCAAGTGAATCTGGATTCCCCATTGACTTTGCTTGTCAAAAGTCTGCAAAAAGGAATCACGTGACCCTGTCATAAATCTGAGTCAGTTGCTAAGTGTCTGAATTTTGATGGTGTGACTATGGGGGGTGCCACAATGGTCGTAAGTGTGAAAAAACAGTCAGATGATCTGTTGTAAGTTAAGGACTACCTATAATTTTATTTCAAACAGTTACACAACCAAAGTAACAAAACAACACCTCGTGCAAAACAAAGGGGAATCTATGGAATCATCTGAGGATTCTGCCACCTTATTCTGTGGAATGTGTGAGTCCAGAATAAAACTGTTCTCCAAGGGAAGAGTTCCCTTGACTGCCAAGCAAAGGTCTCTGAATTCAGAGTGTGACAGCAGTTAGCTTATCTCATAAATCAAATTTCTTCGACTCAGACATTTGCATGAGGCCTTCTGATTGATCTACCTGGCCCACCCAAGTGAATAATAAAAACACCTGAACAGCAGAGTGATTTGGCTATTACTTGCTATCCCCAGCTGCACCCATGTAAGTGGGCGGGCATTTATTGATTTCTAAGATTACTACCTTGCTCCTTTCAAACTGCCTCTGAGCTGCAAATATATTACTGCAAGGGCATCTGCGCCTGCTCCTTTCCCCGTGGTGGTTCATTTAAAACAGGGGTCTTCAAACTTGGCAACTTTTAAGACTTGTGGACTTCAGCTCCCAGAATTCTTCAGCCAGTCATGCTAAGGAGTCTACAAGTCTTAAAGTTGCTAGGTTTGAAGACCCCCTGGCTTAGAAGAAGAGGGTAACTTAATTGGGGACATCGAATCCTGCACTACAGTGGAAGGGCTTGAGTTTGTTAAGCCAAGAGAAGTCAAACTTGGGGGAGAGAAAACAAATAAACATTGTGATGTTCTGACATGCAGAAGATGGAATAGAGATGTCTGTTTTACTTCAAGGAGAGGATGCGAAATAATGAGGTAGTTGGGAAGCTGATTTGGGTGAAACTTCAAGGGAAGCTTCCTAACTGACAGTGGAACAAGTGCTTCAGAGGTCAGGATGACAGTGGAACTCATTAGCTCTGGAGGGCTACTGGTCAGGGATACGACTGTGGTGTCAGATGCAACATGGCCAGGAGGGGGGGGGTGTTGGACCATTCATCCTTCCTCATCAGGTGCTCTCCAAATAGGTTGAGAAGGGAACCTTCCCGCCAGCACACTGCAGTTGGCAGTTCAATACACAAGCCACAGATTAAAGAAAGCTTGCATGAGTGGCCTTCAAGCTTCCTTTGAATCCCATTGTTCTCCTTCCTTCCTCTTCCCCTGTCCAGTATAAGTTAAATTAGGCCCATATGGAAGGGAGGCAAACACAGACTCGCTCCTCCCCAGTGTCTCGGCTTTTTCCTCCAGCTCTTCCAGCAGTTAAGATTCAGAGCAGTAAGCTCATTGGGGCTTTGAGAGCTTGGTTTGTTTTGCTCGTTAAACTTCATAAACTGCCACATGCACCAAGAGTGTAGAATAAATCATTCTTATTTGGCAGGCAGGCACTCACAATACTGCCTCCGCCGCTAGCGCCATTATCTGTTTTCAGCAAAGAATCCCTTGCTGGCAGAGTTAACAAGGGGGGGGGGAGAGAGCAACCAGCTCTTTTAAGCAGCAATTCTAGTTTCCTGGTGGTGGAAGAGATTAGATTATGCTGAAGGGGCCGATAGTGGAATTTCTGGCCAAATCGGATGTTTTCCTTGCAAGCTTTCCCCCCCCCCCACCCCTTCTGGCCACCCACCCCATATTAGTCAACTTGAAGCAGCTGCAACTCCAACACACAGTTAACAGAAACTAGCCTTTTCCAGAAAGAGGTCCATCCTACACGGAGATGCAGCAAAACGATTGCTATGGGAAAACGCCTGTGCGTGAACGAAGGCTTCCAACAGGAAATGCTGAGGAAGAAGGGACGCAATTAGGACATGCCAGAGAGGCTGGCATGGAAACCCCACCAGAGCTGCTTCATGGGCCCTGAGATAAATGCGCACACAATGGCCTATAGGGAGCCTCTGGCAGATCAATAATTCAGAAGGTTCTGGGATAGAGTTTCTCACTTTAATTAGCCCAAAGCTCCTTGCTGCCTGTGCTTCATTTCGGCAGGAAGATTCATCCTCCCAGCGAGCACCCACCACTGTTCCTTTGCACCCATCCATCTCCTGCTGGCTTCTTTATTAAAGAGCCATTTCCTCTGGCCTGCCTTCTTAAGCTTTGCTACCCAGGCAGGGCAGGTCTGGCTAGAGCTTTCCAAGCCCCTCCAAGAGGGGAAGGGATCTTTTATTAAGTCTCTTAATTTCCACCTGCAGTGGGTAAGTGAAAGGCAGTGGGAGCCTTGCAGGCTTGACGCCATTACAAGCCTACGTGTTTTCAATGGCGCTCCGAGATAATCCTCCGAGCCAACGTTTGTAAAATAAGGGAACTTCTCTGCTCCCATTTCTCTCTCACATCCAGATTTTAACTAAAGTTAGAAATGGTAGGAAGTATCTAGAGTTGCAGAGAGTCAGGCAGTATATAAATATCATCACAACAATAATAAACATTGGCTGAAGTGGCCCCTGGGGTTATCAGCATACTGAGAGCTATACCCAAAAAAACCCCCAAAACCTTGGATGTGCAAAATCTGCACATTGAGAAAATTTCCATCTGTCAGTTACACAAGGCTACACTGCTGGGATCCACACATATACTACACCGGTACATTAAGATGTCCTAGATTTTTGGGAAGAACTCAATACATATGAAGGCCAATATCAGCTAAAGAATTGGTAGTTGTGATTTCACATTGTTGTATGTATAATATAAAGAGTGGACTGTCAGCCTTCCCGAATAGACCAGACAGAAAGTGCAGCCAATAAGCTAATTCTACTTTATTGAAAAGCTTCCTTAAGAGAATCTTGCAAGTCTTGCAAGACTAAAAGTATTTGCAAGTACATTGTCCCCTTTACAATCCATAGCTGTGGGCTATGCTACCTCTTATCTAACAGTTCTCTTTGCCCAGTTATTCCCACATATTATTACATGGACACAGTCTTTCCCTGAGCATGCTGGTTGGGGAATTCTGGGAGTTGAAGTCCACATGTCTTAAAGTGGGGCAGATGAATCTGATATCCTTTATGAACTCTTTCAACTGTGAATCTAATAATATTGGTTGCCATGATCTCTAAACCACAGCAAAATACATTTTTAACAGAGGTAGTGGAAGACTCATTCAACATCTGATCCAAATGAGTTATATATTTGCTTCATTTTATTTCATATTTTTCCACCCACAGGAACTGCTGCCTTTAAGTATGTACCTTTCGATGTGTTTCACCTTAAAGCTGACATTTCCAAATTCAGCATTTTTCTCATGTCTTTTTAAATGCTTGTTAATCATCTGAGTTGAAAACTCTGTTCCATCCTTTAGAGAAATGTGAAATCCAACGGATAACTAGAATCCAATTTATACATTAGCCCAAGAGGTCAAGCCAAGCTCGTCTCTGAATTTGCAAAGATGGAATCCCTTGAACATCCCTTGTTAATGCAAAATCCTAAAAATAGACTTTCTCCAATTTTCTCTCTTTCAAAAGTCTTGGAGCTGCCTTTCCAGAATCCTACCCCCTTTCAATAAATCCACTGGACCTGCTCATAGAAAAGATGAAAGAGGTAATTTAGTACATCTGGAAGGCACAGTCTTAGGTCAAGACTGTGCTCAGAAATTTGCCCAATTCCCACAGAGCTTCAACTGCACTCCATGAGGCTTTCAGCATCATCAAGGCAGCGTCTTTTGCTGCCCAGTTTGAAAGGCAGAGATGATGAAAACATTTAGCAGGAACATTTTGCATGCCTTTATAACCTACTAAGTACAGCATCTCCCCAATTTGCATGCTTCCAAATGTCTTGGCCTACATTTTCCACTAGTCTGCTATGTCTCTGTGTGCATTCGTTAGTGAACTGAGAAGGCAAATGAATCTCTGCTGAGGAAGGAACAACCCCCTTCCCCCATTCTGTGCCCCCCCCCCGGATTAGGAGAGTTAAATGTCCAAGATCTTCAGCTCACGAGGAGGGCACCAGGTGAAGGAATGGTGGGGTAGTTAATATTGAATTGGGCGGATTCTTAGTTTGACTCAATACAGGCACTCACGACTTACCACAGTTCATTTAGTGACTGTTCGAAGCTACAACACCGCTGCAAAAAAGTGACATGACATTTTTCACACTTACAATCATTTCAGCATCCCCGTGGTCACGTGGTCAAAATTCAGACACTTGGCAACTGGCATGTACTTATGACAGTTGCAATATTCCAGGATCACGTGATTCGCCTTTTGTGACCTTCTGACAAGCAAAGTCAACGGGGAAGCCAAATTCACTTAACAACCGTGTTACTAACTTAATAGCTGCAGTGATTCACTTAACATCCGTGGGGGGGAAAAAACGTAAAATGAGGCAAAGTTGGGCTCGGTTGTGGTTGTAAGTCCAGGACTACCTTGTAAAAGGCCATTTTTAGGTATGTCTTGGTCCACACACACAAACAGATGAGACACCAGCAAGTTTTCGGTTGTGGTAATGATGGATGCTCATTCCCAGATCATTGTCAGCTTAAAGGACCTCTGAGTGCTGGTTCTGTTCGTGTCTCTGGGGCTCCTAAGTGAATGAATGAATGGATATCAGAGCATCCCTGCCCTCAAGCCTTTTTCTGCAATTGGGACACGTTCATGAGCTGTGCCACTGCCACACAATTTGCTTGAAAGGAGGAGCAATGAAGAACAGTTGAAAATGTAAGCACTTGCCAGAAATATCCTGATCAGGAGCATTTGCAAGAGCTCAGAAGTTGCTTGACATTTTCCACGTGAATAGCTGCAACCCAGCCCTTCCTCTTCCAATGTAGACAAACTTACACAAGTGACTTACCATGTGTGGGAATCTTAGGCTGCTTGGAAGATGGTTGCGGAGGCTCCTTTGTCGTTGGGTGGGGATGCGCTGTGGTAGTTAGCTTTAGTTCTATAAAAAAAAAGATCAATTAAAAAAACCCTCCACTGTATAGCAAGAAAAAAAAGGGTTAGAGACCTTCAAATTTAAAAAAAAAACAACTGTTGCAATTGCCAATGAAAACACAGTTCTGGTATTCCAAAGGTGCTTTTCAAAAGGCAACTGGACTTTCTTGGTTTTTCCCTTGAAAACTTTTCGCTTCTCATCTAAGAAGCTTCTTCAGTTCTGGTATGTAGATACCAGAACCTTTGTAAACTGTATGACAGAGATGGAAAGAGTACAGAAGAGAACAGATGATTAGAGAACTCAAAGATCCTTCTTTTATAAGAAAGTTTGAGGGGCTTTTGCTTGGAGAACAGGAGAACACAACTGAGATTTAGGAGGCCATGCCTGTCTCCAAAGTCAAGGACAAGGAACCATCCAATGAAACTGACTCAGGGGGAATTAAGAAAAGAAGAAAACGCTTCTTCACGGAGCACACCCAGCTTGTGAAATTCCCCCCCTGTAAGATGTAGTAATGCTCATTCACTCGGATGACTTTAAAAGGGATGGGGTAAATTATCCTAAGGCTTGAAGATTTAGGAGTATCTCCCAGTCAGGGGCTGCTGAGACAAGCAGGGAGCCATATAAATTGAACAATGAAGTAAACGCTCTTAGGCCGCTATGTGAAACAAAGTGTTGGACTAGCTGCCTGATCCAGCAGAGCCGTTTTTAGGATTTGATTCCATTATGCTCTCTTAATAAAACAGGAGGATGAAAGCAAAGGGGCAAAATCTCCAGACGTCAAACAGCTATCAGAAAGAAAGGCAAAGGTGAGTTTCTCTGTTCCATAGGCTACCGTGTTTCCCCGAAAATAAACCCCACCCCGAAAAAAAGACCTACCCTGATTTGTGGGGGTGGGCCTAATATAAGCCCTACTCCAAAAATAAGCCCTAATTAGGACCCCGCCCACTCCGTCCTACCTAGCTGCCACAATGGGGCAGGAGGCTTCATGACACATTGGGCAGGTGATCTGTGGGGCAAAGCGCGAAGAAAGCCCCTCCAGCGGCACACAGTGGCAGCGGAGCCTTTCGCCATCACTACCCCCTGGCTCCGAAACTGTGGAGGGCAACAAGGCCTACCCTGCCCATCCTCCATGCGGGAGCATGGCAGTCCGGCTCGGAAGGGGAGTGAAAGGGAGCAAGGAATGGCCTGGCTGGGGCGGGGGGCTGAAGGAAGCGGGTGCAGAGCGCGTGGGGCAGCTGCACCCCTTCCCCCACCTGCCTCGCCTTGTTGTGGCGGCAGCGGCGCGATGTGCCGTGCGGCCTCCTGCCACGAGCGGTCGCAGAAGTGGGCCAGCAGCCACGTGGGCTCCTGCTGGATGGGGCTGTTGGTGCCAGTGCCGCAAGGGAGTCACGGAAAATCTAAGACACTGCCCGAATGTAAGACCTAATGCCTCTTTTGGAGGCAAAAATAATATAAGACCGGGTCTTACTTTCGGGAAAACACGGTATTAGAAAATAATCTAAGTACAGGGAGTCCTCGACATATGACTGAAAGAAACCTGCCCATTACAGTCATAAAATGAGTCAGGTCATATGACCGACTCTATTTCACGATCCCTTTTTTTTGTGGCAGTTAAGTAAATCACTGGGATTGCCAAGTGAATCTGTGGCTGCTAAGCAAACCAGTGTTTCCCAATGGGTGCAGTTTTGCTGAAAATCAGAATTAAATGCCAGGCTTGGGGAAAACTATCATAAAACACAGACATGTGACTATGGGATATGGACAAACGTCCATAAATTTGCCGTGTTGTCAAGCACCTGAAGTTTGGTCACCTGACCACAGAGGGGGCCCAACCATTGAAATTGAATCTAGGTTAAGTCCCCTTTCTCAGGTTGGTCGTATCTTTGAACCGTCACTAAGTGACAGGTTGTAAATTGAGGACTATCTGTAATAGCATTAAAAATTTCTTGCCAGAGAAACATCTTAAACGTCTAAGTTTGGGATTGACCTAACTGGCCTCAGATGTGGAAGCAGAATTTTTTCCTGCCCTTTTTACAAATGAGCCAGAAAAAGAAAGGCCAGGGCAAAAAAATCAGCTGCGCCAGAAAAACATAATAAATTGGGTTTAAATTACATTGCATCCAATTCAATACTTAATCACATTAAAAACAGAAACTTGGTGACATTTTTATACAGGTCCTGGGTGCAGCCAAAACATTTTTGGGCGGTGGGGAATATGCATCCCTATGATGCACCCCAACATAGAGTGTCTGTACCAGGACTGTTCTAATTGCAACGTTTATACTGGTTTATCATATTATTCATATGAGAACTGAGCACAAACCTAGTATCCGCCATCTTGGTCCAGTTGTTGCTGTCCATGACAACTGACAAAACATTCTGATTAAGGAAGGAACATACAACCAACATGGACAAAGAGCTGCCCACAGTCTTTTAGTCCACGAATTTGTACTCTAGATATTGCTTATTGTCTAGTCTCCACAAATCAGTAAACTTATAATACAAATGGTAGCTTTTGCAAGGCCTCCTAACAAATCCTCGCCCAAGGATTACCTTCACAGCTGACAGTAGTGTTGAAAAATGAACATTTCTCCTTCAACGCTTCTCCATTCTTTACGCAGCTCCCCGTACCTAGAAATGAAGGAAGTCATATTGAAGCAGAAGAAAATAATAAGCAACAGCTTTTACTTCTTCTTCTTCCATATATGGCAATACCGAACCAGGCTGGCTGGGTTCATTTGTGACAATAAGCTATGGCACATTTTAATTGTGGTTTGCAGGACCATCACCCCTCATCCACAGAATGCCTCCAAATACAGTTGCAAAGGAACTGTGGAGGGAAGGGATTAAGTCTCCATCTTCTGCTTGGGAGCACCTGGTGAGGGGTCTAGGACAGTGATGGCGAACCTTTTAGCGACCGAGTGCCCAAATCGCAACCCAAAACCCACTTATTTATTGCAAAGTGCCAGGGCCGCATCAGCATTGTGGTGCCCTCAGGGGGGTGGGCGTGGCCCAGTGGGTGGGCATGGCTGTGGTGGTCACGGCAGACTGGGCGGGCATGGCCAGGGTGGGCGTGGCCACGTTGATGTTGCTCGTGGGGGGGACGCCTGTGGGGGCTGGGCAAGATTGGGGGAGATCCAGGGGGTCTCTGGTGGGTGGGGCGGTGGGCAGGAGGCTCGTCCTGTGGGGTGAGGCAGGGGGTAGGGCGGGGGTGCCATTGCTGTGGGGCGAGGCGAGGTAGGGGCGGCTGCTGCCTGACACTATCAGCCCCCACACACAGAGGCCAGCGAGCTCATGGTCTACCACCTCTACTCAAGCTTGCTAGCCAGTTGCTTCACCTCCTTTGTGCTGGGTGGGGCTGCCGCTCTGGGCACCAGTGGTGGCCTAATGGACCTGCGCGAGCTGGTGGCGGCGGCAGGTGTGCCCCCAGAGAAGGCTCTGAGTGCTGCCTCTGGCACGCGTGCCATAGGTTCGCCATCACTGGTCTAGGACAACTCGCCACAGCCAACTCGCCACAGCCATCTCGCCACGGGACCACTCGCTGTGGGACAATCCACATGGGATAACTCAACGCAATAAATGTTATCCGCCACTGCTTCTTCTACATTCCTTCCATTTTTGTCAGTGGAAATAATGTCGAAGAAACAGTGGTGGATAATATTTGTTGCATTGTAATTAAGTGTAATTAACTCTAAGAAAAGAGGAAAAAATGTTTTTTGAACATTGCGGGGAAAACAAATTTAAATGAGAAGGTGATTAAGATGATTAATTAGAAAAGAAGATTTATATTGATGTGGTTGTTATTCGTAGAAATACTAGAAAAATGTCTATATTCAATTGCTATTTACTAAAATTACCAAGAAATGTACTAATTTAATATTATTGGAAGAAGAGAAAATCAAGGGAAGCTATTATGTGGAGTATGGAACTATAGAAATTAATTGTGATTGTTTGTAAATATAAACCCAGACAACACACTGTTTACCGAATATTAATGATGGTTATGTTTTAAAAAATTAATAAAATATATATTTAAGACAATTGTCGCATTGAGTTATCCTGGACTACAGCAAGTTGTCCCATTCCTCCAGGTGAGTGGCAGCCATATCAGTTGGGGAAAGACCAATAGACTTTCCTCCCACATAAGACATGGTTGCTACCTCATTCTTGACTTAAAGTGAGCCTTAGAATTGTTTTGTTTTGTCTTAAGCAAAACCAGTTCTATCAGCTCCTTCTGTCCCCAAAATTGCACTGAAGCAGTTGTTGCCAGAAAAGTGAAGAATTCATTCCTCCTGTTGCTTTTTCATCATGAGAACAGCAGAATTTTTTTTCCTAGTTAGGTTTGTTCCCGCAAAACAAAGAAGCACTAAAGTGCCTTTTGCTTTGAATCAGTGGAAATCTGAAGTCTGGAACTTATTGCTGTCATTTTTATTTGTTGTGACTTAGGAGAAAAGCCATTTGGGGGATGATGTGAAATGTTTCTTCTTCTTCTTCCAAGTTTTAAAACTTCACCACTATCACAAACCATTCAGACTCAGGCAACAGGAAGATGGAAATACTGATCTGTTCTACAGGATTAATCTAAGAACTACTACACAAAGCAACTTAAAACAGTAATACTCAGACTCAACTTAGGACAAAACAGTAAAACTCTCCTCTGTGCTCCCTGCAACTTCATTGATTTATTCCTGCAATTTTCTAAGCACCCAATATGAACACAACCTTGTTTTCTTCCACAAAGCACATAAAGCCAAGAAACTCCAGTTGCCTTTTGAAAAGCACCTTTGGGACAATCATGACCTGGATGATTGAGAATCTTCATAGACCCAAAGCATTTAAAACCATTCTTAAAAATTGCCTAAAAGAAACAACAGTAGTAGCTTAGTTATCCCCAGCTTGCCTATCTTTTGCTTAGCTTTCTGAGTGTTAAAAGAGGTCCAGGTGGGCCCGAAGGTGGATAAGAAAATAAGCTATCCTATGGAATCCTTGTTACTCTCTGAACTTGGTTGTTTTCTTGCAAACTATTCATTACCAAACTAGGTAACATTATCACAGCACTGATGAGGTTACCTAGTTTGGTAATGTCTGCAAGAAAACAAGCAAGCTCAGAGAGCAACAAGGATCCCACAGTTGACCCTTGAGCTGCAATTATTGTATTCTGTGAACTAACGTAATTCTCCCTGCTTCTTGAGGCAAACTCTCAGTTTCTAATCCATACTGGCCAGCAATTCTCACTAGCAACAGGCACCAGATCTCAAAAATCAACAGACAGCAAAGGCTGTTGTTTATTAGCTCCTGGCTATCCCTCTCTTCCTGGAACTGTAGCCAGGGCAACAAGTCAGGTACAAATCAAAAGACATTCAGATCTTGAGATGGCTTAGATGTTCCCATAAAATAGAAGGATTTTCAGAGTGCTGGCCTTAACGTGGCTCTTGTGGACGATTAAACCTTTCAGCATCTGTCACCATTGGCCATCAAGGCCAGTCTATTAGAAGTTGCAGTCTGCCACTTGGTAGCCCATCTTTGCAAAAAAAAATAAGGTCCTTACAAAAAGGTAGTGGGCAGCATCCATTGGTGTTCTGGACATTGGTGACCTGGACCCTGACCGTTCTGGGCAACATTTCAATTTAAATAAAGTGCCAGTAAACTTTGACCAAAAATTTAAGCCTGTGTTGATAAGACAGACAAGTACACTCTATAATAAGGGTCTAAATAGTCATTAAAATTAATTTATGGCACAGGTCATCTTCTGACAGTAATTTTGGGTGCTGCTGCACAAAACTTAGCAACGTTATATGTATGTTGTCACAGGGTTGGTATCCAAGAGCAGCATGGAGCTGTAAAATTGCCCTGTGCAGCCTGAGTATTTATGCAATAATGATAAAGTGGTAAGTAATGGTAAAATGAAATACGCAATCCAAATATTTGGCCATCATTTTTTTATTGACTTACCTGGCTTCTCATGAGACTCCTGACAGTATTTCCAAATGCAGTTTGTAATATTCTGGGAAGGAGAACCTTCAGTGCACTGCTTACATGACTCCAGATCTTTACATTCCCCTGTTTAAAAAAACAGTCTATAGATGTGGATCCTAAAGGATCGGTTGGAGTGACAGAAAATTGTTAAGTTCTAGGGTTATTCAATGACCAGGAAGTGTCAAAAATTGCCCTTTGCCTTTTGCCTCCCACCTCCAAATTTTCAGATATTTAATTTGGATTCAACAGGTAGTCCTCAACTTACAACCATTCGTTTGGCAACTGTTTGAAGTTGCAACAGCTCTGCAAAAAGCTATTCATGACCAACCTTTGTACTCAGGGACTGTCATAGTATCCCCACAAACACATGAACAAAATTTGGGTGCTTGGCAAACTGGCATGCATTTATGATGGTTGTAGCATCCAAGGGTCATGAGATCATCATGGGTGACCTTCCCAGCCAGCTTCCAAGAAGCAAAATGATGGAGGAAGCTGGATTTGGTTAATGACCGCAGAATTCTCTTAACAACGACAGTGATTTGCTTAAGAACTGTGGCAAAAAGTCATAAGATCAGGGGCAACTCACTTAACTTTGCTTAGCAATGGAAATTCTGAAATTCTCATTCTTATGAGGTCGTAAGTCAAGGACTACCTGAGCATACAGTAGTTGCCATGCTACTTACAGAACTGTCTTTCTTTTTTAATGTATCCTTAACATTAGAGGTTCAATATGAACTCAGATCAAAATGCATTGCAGGTCCTATACTGCCAAGGTGCTGAGGTCTTCATCCTGAACTCCATCACCACCGGAAAAGGGACTGGGAGCACCAAACACATTTTGTGTTTGCTGCGAAGAGACCGTGACACTATCTGTTAAACTTTAGAGAATTTAACTGATCAAATCAAGAAAACCCAGGTAGCAACTATTCTAAACATTGTGAGAATGATTGCAGATGGGTGCACACATTGAGTTGAGCCCAAACTTGTCTCATTTTGTTTGCTTTTGTTTATTTTTGTTATTTTTATGCAAGAATCCAGTTTATGCTTCCTTTCGTTTGAAAGCCATACTATGTATTGTGTGAATCTGGCCAATGATGATTTCTAAAAGGAACAAACCCCAATGAACAAAATAATTAGCATGATGTGTAAGCCGTAAGCCAAGACAGTATTTCTGTCACTTTTAGGAAGAGATACTTTGATCTCCTTGTTTTCTACTCTTTCAGTATTATATCCTTGGGCTTCTTTGTGTCTACTAGCTTGTTAGCCTGCAGGCAGTTGCCACATGCCCATGTTTAGTTTTTGTATATTATGTAGAAAATAATATTCTTCTCTCTGACTATAGTCGATGCACTGGATTGGGTGCACGGTGATCTAGAAAAGCTCATGCAAGGACTATTAAACTTTAAAGTGCCACAAGATTCTGTGTTGTTTTTGCCATAGAAAGTGAACATAGTTCTCATGCTGGAAATATTAAAAAAATAATTTTATTATTGCAATTTACATAACTGCCCATCTCACAACACGATAACAGTACAAGATAACCCAGTGATGGCGAACCTTTTAGAGACCGAGTGCCCAAACTGCAACCCAAACCCCACTTATGCATTGTCGAGTGCCGGCTGGGTGTGGCCCATTGGCTGGGTGTGGCCCATTGAGTGGGCGTGGCCAATTGGGTGGGCGTGGCTGCAGTGGTAACGGCAGACTGGGTGGGACTAAAAAGTTCAATCAATCAATTCCAACTTTGCAAGATCTTTTTTTCCCCGTGAGAAGTTGAAATTGACTGATTGAACCTTTTTTTTTTTGCACATGGCGGCAGAGGCCTAAAGCGAAAAGGTTTTATAAAACCCAGCTGAAGGGACCTAGGACTGGGGTGACGGCGTGCGTGCCCACAGAGAGGGCTCTGAGTGCCGCCTCTGGCACCCGTGCCATAGGTTCGCCACCACTGAGATAACCTAACAATGAGGAAAACAACATTGAAAGTGTGAATGATTGTCCAAGGATAATTGTATATAATTAAAGGCTTGGGGTCAAGCAAGTGGCCTCACCTAGCTGATCTTGAAATGCTAAGTGGGGTCAGAACTGATTAGGAGTTGGACAAGAGGCCATCAACAAATTCCCCCCCCCCAGCTGTAGGCTAGGCTGCAAAGTTGAAAAGCCATCTGGACGAAGACAATGGCAAACCACTTATATGCTGAAAGCCAGTTTGGAGTGGTGAAGAAACTGGCCTAGAAACCAGGGGACCGTGTGCTCTGGTCTTCCCTTAGAATGTGAAAGCCACTGGGTGATCTGGGGCAGTTCCTCTGCCCCCAACACAACCCATTTCACAAAGTAACCGTTGCAGGGAAAAAAGAAGGCAGGAGCATTATGTGTGTGTATGTATGTGCATAAAGGCAGAAGATAAATCTCACGATCAATTAATAAATACTGTTGCCAAGGAAAGTACATTCAAAGTAACTGGGAACTGAGCTGTCAATAGCACCATTTTGCTGGAAAAGAGCCAGATCACCTTTACAATACTATACTGAATGTTGTATCTCCAAAGGAGGGGCATCCTGTATCACTTACGCATGTGTTATTGTGTTAACCTTGCTGGCTGGTACGTAATGCTGGCCTGCTTATGACAACACTGTCAAAACCCTCCATTTGCTGGGGCAAAGATAAGGCAATAGCAGTTGGAAGTTTGTTTAAGACTAATTAAACCTACAAATGGGGGATTACATTGTCTGTTCAGGACTTCAGGATCAAGAGGACAGCTGGCTCTGGACCCAAAGCTAGTAACCAACTGCCAGGAAAACTGCTCCCTTGTCTCCTGAACTCAGATCCCAGATGGGTTGCATTTCAACTCCCATACTCCTCAGGCAACAGGCAAGAACAATGAGGGCACCCAAGCTGGGGAGGTTGTCCTAATCTAATTAAATTCTTCTTAAAAAATGTTTTAATTCTGCAGGAATAAAGCAAAGCAAAGTATCCTTGAGAAATATCTACCAATCTTGGCTTGAACCCTTCCAAAGAAAAAAGGGCACCCATTATCCCTCGGAGTAATTGATTGAGCAACTCTAACTTCTAAGACGTTTTTCCTAACATTCAACCAAATCTTGCATTATTCTCAGACTTTTGACTTAAATCAGTGTTTTTCCAATCTCGGCAACTTCAAGATCTGTGGACTTCAACTCCCAGAATTCATGCTGGCTGGGAAATTTTGGGTGCTAGAGTCACTCAAAGTTGCCGAGGTTCAAAAACACGGCTATAGTTAATTCTCTGCATCTTTCTTCAACTGTGGTGGCCCAGAACTAGAATAGTAAAATCTGACAAAGCTAGGCAAACTCAAGATTTTTGTATCTGATGCCAAACTATTCTAGCATGGTATGATTTGACATACATATAAAAAGTAGTAAAGGTTTAAAATGGAGGTTTGAATGAAGCAAAAAAAAAAAAACCCTCCTCATAGCACTCATCATTACGGTAACTTCAGTAATTTAATCATATATACCATACACTATCACATGGCGTAGTGATTCAAATAACACCAGGGGTCTTCAAACTTGGCCCTTTTATGACTTGTGGACTTCAACTCCCAGAATTCCCCAGCCAGGCACGTGTGCCTGGCTGAGGAATTCTGGGAGTTGAAGTCTACAAGTCATAAAAGGGCCAAGTTTGAAGAACCCTGCTTAACACCATGACAAAAAAAAGGTTGTAACAACTGCCTTGCTTAGCAACGGAAATTCTGATCCTCATTGTGGTTGTAAATCAAGGATTTCCTATACAGGTAGTCCTTGAGTTATGAGCACAATTGAGCCCAAAATTTGTGTTGCTAAGTGAAACATTTGTTAAGTGAGTTTTGCTCCATTTCTTGCCACGGTTGTTAAGTGAATTTGGATTTTCCCATTGACTTTGCTCGTCAAAAGGTCGCAAAAAGCGATCACATAACCCCGGGACACTGCAACCATCATAAATATGAGTCAGTTGCCAAGTGTCTGAATTCGCAATGGTCATAAGTGTGAAAAAGGGTCATAAGTCATTTTTCCCCCAGTACCATTGTAACTTTGAACGGTCACTAAAGGAACTGTTGTAAGTCGAGGACATAGTCCCTCTAAGGCAGGGGTAGGCAACCTTGGCTCTTTTAGACTCGTGGACTTCAACTCCCAGAATTCCTGAGCCAGCTTAGCCAAGGTTGCCTACCCCTGCTCTAAGCAATTTGGATAGCTCATAACTTCTGGAGATCTTCCTACTCTGCAGAGGGCAGAAAGATTTTATATCTGCTATGCAACTCTAATCCTGTGCAGATTTACTCAACCCCAAAAGGAGGCCAGTCTTGGAATGCAGCTCGGGAACCAAGCTGAGAGTGGGAGGCAACCACCAGTAGTAACATCCAGCCCCTTGCAACCAGTCGCCAATAAGGCAAAAATGTCCAACTTAGCGTGGGAGTCTTTTCTGTTTATGGAGACAAACACACGTGTTCTCTCTCTCTCTCTCTCTCTCTCTCTCTCTCTCTCTCTCTCTCTCTCTCTCTCTCTCTCTCTCTCTCTCTCTCTCTCTCTCTCTCGTTAACCAATTATCTTTGTATAGTGGAAGGTTGATGGGCTCTATTGCCATGGATACAGTGTTCTGGTTATAGCACTTTAACTAGCAGTGAGTGACTTAACAAGAGCCAGTAAGAAAGCAGGACTTGGTTCCCCAAATTTTTTGCAGGTTGGTATGTGTGTGCGTGTGTCTGCATGTTGTTAAAAGAGCCCAGCTATTTTTGTCACAAGTACAGAGAAATTCGATGCTTTGCCCAATGCCTTCAAATCTTGGCATGCTGCTGCATCGGACAGGGGGAGAGGGGAAAAAACACTGCCTGCTTCAAGATCTTCTCCCATCTGTTCCAGCCAACCCACAAACAGAGGCCTGTTCACACATTTAACAATAGCCCTTGTCCCTGTCGTCAGCAACTCTCAGGAAGGGACATGAGGCAAGACTGCCTACTTTCCCATCTGCTGCGCTATGGAGTCTTTCTCCACATCTGGACAGGCCAGTGACCTCCGAAATCAGCATCCTAATACACAGGAGTGTCATTTATTCCCAAAAGTAAAGCTTACTCCTAAGCAAGTGTGCTTGCAAGTATTATTTGCAAGCACAGCTCCAGGTAGACATACCTAGGGTGAAATTCTAGGGGCTGCCATTATTATGGTTTGTTGTTACGGTAAGCCGGATGTTCAGACATTTTTATCCATCTATCAAGTCCTGCCCAAGGACCTGGGAAAGGCAGATGTGGATGTTTAAAGGTATTGTCTCAGGTTGTTCTGAGTACAGCTGCCTTTTGCAACTGACTGGGGGCGATGTTGTCAATGCCAGTGATTTTGTGAATGCCTCCATTATTATTGTCAAATGCATATGCCACCTGACTTCCAACAACTCTGGTCCCAGAGGAAGACCATAGCTTAAAGGAAAACTGCAGCTCAGTGAAGGAGCATCTATGGTACATTTTTTTAGCTTCAGCTGAGAAAGATTTTGACCTGAAATCCTGCAGAATAGCCATCAATGTGCAGGTCCAGCTTATTACAGGGTACCCTCCTGATTTGCAAAGAAATTCATTCCAGTCCATATTTTTTTTAGGTGAACAGAAAGCAGAACACAAAAAGGGCAGGATGTCTGTGATAGGTACACAGAAATTCCTCTTCTTACTATCTTGCAAGGCACGGTTTCCCAACTCTGGCAACTTTTAAGATGCATGGACTTCAACTCCCAGAATTCCTCAGCAAGACATGCTGGCTGGGGAATTCTGAGAGTTGAAGTCCACAAACGTTAAAGTTGTCAGGGTTGGGAAGCCTTTTGCCTTACAGCAGGGGTCTTCAAACTTGGCCCCTTTTATGAATTATGGACTTCAACTCCCAGAATTCCTCAGCCAGCATGCCTGGCTGAGGAATTCTGGGAGTTGAAGTCCACAAGTCATAAAAGGGCCAAGTTTGAAGACCCCTGCCTTACAGGACGCCAAGTTGCCAAGACTAGGAAACCCTGCTGAAAGGCAAATATGATCCAGTCTCCATATGACATCATAGATAACTGGAGTAGAAGCTCAGCCTTCTTTGATATTTGTGCACCCAGATCTTGTAGCGCGTCCAGCAAGCACCACCTTTTTCCAAACAGCATGCCGAGGTCCTGAGCTTTGCATTGCAAAACAGTTGTCAGTATCCCTGATCTCCAGGTCACCCACATGCACTTGTGCATGTATTCCCAGGGGATGTTTTATAATTGATAAAATAATAGTTGACATTTGACTCTGCCCTCAAGGCCTCATTTTGTGATGACTGCTGTTTGGGAGACTTCAAGACTCTAATGAAAAGACAGAATAAAACAGGTCACACCGGCATGAAATCCACCCGCTGCTGCCCCAGGGGAGAGCCAATCGCAAGAGACCAGGTGTTTAAAAGAGTCTGCACAATACTTTCCATTCTTGTCTATAAACCACTTGGGCCAGCTTCAGGAGGAAATTAACCTTGCTTCCTTCTCCTATTTCCATGGATTCAGATTACATGACATGCATCGCTAATTTGCTTCCTCAGATAACAATTGCCCTGGAATGAATACCTGGACAATAGTGAGTTGAAAAGATCCAGGCTTGCAAAGACCCAGATTTGCACAGATGCCTCCAACATCTGGCTTACTACATTGTTTTCAACGTGACCTAATGAACTCCCAGCATGCTAACTTTGGTTGGTATTAACCTCATTTTTTTGTTCATATTTCCCATGTTATGGGAACCCAGCCCATTTAATTAGCTGATAGGTCAGTGTATTGTGCAACTCCCCAAAAGGGGTCAATTCAGTACCCCAGTTCATCGTGATATGTGAACCCCGCTAGCTGCGTGACCCACTCTGCATTGCTGCCTTATTTGCAAGGTCATGTGAACCATCCCCAAAATGTTAATTGTGTCCACCAGCTATGGAAATGTTACACAGCCCTGAGCTACCGACTTGTTCATTGAATAAAGCCCAGTTTAGTTGAGCTCACCCAACCTGTTAAGGCACAAATTACACGAATTGTACAATGACATAACATGCAGCCATAGAACACAAAACCCTGCTCAACAACAGGTTTGTAGAACAGGCATGCGCTAGCATCCATCAGATTGTTCTAATGAATGGGCTGATAGCTTTGAAGGATAAAAAAAAAAAAGGAGTAGGCGAAAAAGAAAATATGACTCCATCTGCATTACTAAACCGCTTTCCTAAAATATTCAAAATCAAGCACCAAGACAGATTGGCATTAAGCAGGCTATCAAGTGAAGGAGAAGAATTCACGTGGTGTGTTTCTGCAGTACACCCTGTTACAGAAATCACTGGCAGGGAATAAGTTTGCGGACCACACGGGTGTTTTGTGGTACAAACATTTCATACTGACCTTTTGGGAAGGGACTATCAAACCCCGGATTCCCAGAATTTGGAACAAATCAAATCCTAAATATATGATGATTATATTAGACCTCTTCAGTTGCAGCAATACTATTTGGTGTCCATACTGAAAACTCTGCATTTGGGGTGGATTTAGACTTTCAGATCAGTAGGTTGGAAAAGTGCAAGATACATAGCTTGCAGAAATGAACTCATTACAGCAGTGTTTCTCAACTTTGACAATTTTAAGGCATGTGGACTTCAACTCCCAGAATTCCACAGCCAGCATTGCTGGCTGTGGAATTCTGGGAGTTGAAGTCCACATGCCTTAAAATTGTCAAGGTTGAGAAACACTGCATTACAGGCTTTTGCATCTATAGAAGAGATTCGCCACAAGTATTACCTTTCCTCTAATTAATCAGAACTATAGTTGGATTACAGCTATCTTGGCCAAAGGACAAAAACAAACTAGAAAGGAATCCTGGTCTGTGGAACCAAACCCTTTCCTCCCCAAAATGCAGGTCCTTTCAACATCACAACTAGTTGCAAAGGGCTACGTTCAAGGCTTAACTTCCCCCAAAGTCTTGCTTTATTGCCAGGTGAGCAGCTGAGTTCCAAATGTCAAGGCAATTAAGAGTTCAACATATATGTGTGAATCGGAGGAAGGGGTGATCTGGGAGAATGAGCATCAGGGTTTTGACTAAGGAGATCCGGGTTCAAACCCAGAGCCACCAATAAAGCCTATCGGCCCTGTTCACCTGTCGCATTTAGCCTAACTACAAAATAAGCACATAAGCTCTCTTTGCATAATATATATATATACCAAGTCAGGAAAAAAGTTGAACTTAACCAAGTTCAGGATGCAGAGGAAATACAAGCATTGGGTGTTTAATAGAATCAAAGTGTACAAATTCAGCTATTCCGAGAGTTCACATCAACCATTTTTATACTTATTCTCACCCCACCTGCTGGGTTTTTGTGAAAAATAATGCGGCGGGGGGGGGGGGGGGAGACAGGAAATCTTGGAAGAAGGGCTTATTAACATTCAGGTAACAATTAGGATCTGTCACAAGGAAGCGGTTTCCTCTCCGGACTACGAAGTGGCTAGCTAAATAGATAAGACCTTGATGCTCCAAGATGGGAGTTGACCTAGTTCACAGCGTGCTCTGCCGAAGCCTTCCACAACTTTTCCTGATCACAGGGGACGAGGGCAGCTGTAGTCCAACCCCCTCTAGATGGGCCCAGATTTTTTTGGGGGGGGGGGGACGCAGACAGGCTCAAGGCGGAGCATGCTCGGGGAAAGGGGGAACTTGCACTCATCTGTTCCACACCAACACACCCGTTTACTTCCCGGCGCCCGTTGCAAAGCCACCTCGAGGCCAGAGGTCGCCACAACTTTGCACCCCCGTCCCCCCCCCCCCCCCCCAAGAGCAGCGGGGGTCCCAAGTGGGGGGGAGGGAGGAAGGGAGGGGACGGAGGGCAGCGGACCCCCCCCCCGCCAGAGGGACCCCCGCGATCTCACCCACCTGCCTGGCTGGGGACCAAGCCTCGCGCGCACAGCAAGGCGCAGAGCAGCGCCGCCCGGAGCTCCCAGAAGCGGGCCGGGCCGGGCATGGCTGGGGCTTCTCGGCGGGCCAAGCAAAAGCGGGCAGCCACTCGGGCGGCGGCTTCTCCAAGCACTTTGGAAACGAGGCTCGCCTGAAAAGCGCTCGGGAAAGGGAAGCGCCGGCGGCGGGGCGGCGAGCGAGCACATGCGCGCAGGGCGGACAAAAAAAAAAAAGAAGAAGCAGCTGGGGGTGGGGCAGGCAGGTGAGCCGGCTGGGCGGGGCAGGTGGCTCCTCCCCCGGCTCCTGCCCCGCCCTCGGAGAAGGGCGAAGGCGGTGGGGGGGGGTCGTTTTTGGGTGGCGCTCAGCGCACAGGAATTGGGCTTGAGTGTCCGGTTCGGAGTTTTTAACTTGTTGGGTTACAACTCCCATAATCCTCAGATAGCTAGGTCTGACTCGTCGTGGGTCACCGGGCAGTCCACTTAGACCAGGGGTCTTCAAACTTGGCAACTTTAAGACTTGTGGACTTCAACTCCCAGAATTCCTCAGCCAGCCAGGGCTGGCTGAGGAATTCTGGGAGTTGAAGTCCACAAGTCTTAAAGTTGCCAAGTTTGAAGACCCCTGATTTAGACTGTAGGATCAGCCAGGGTAGTGATCTTAAGACTTTTGCCAGCCAAGTTTGACTCTGACAGTCCTACTGCTGCTTCCAGTCCAGTTTTGTGGTCCGTGAAAGGGAAGGGCGATGAGATCCCTTTCTCACTCGCCTTTGATCTTCCCTTGAGAATGGACCCTCTGAAGAAAGCCCGGAGATCTAGCATTTCACTGGGACCTATGGTCATAACATGTTGGCTGAGGAATTCTGGGAGTTGAAGTCCACACATCTTAAAGTTGCCCAGGTTGGGAAACATTGGGTTGGACCATCCCGTGTCCAGATGGGAGATGGTTGTGGAGAATAAGAGAGCTAAGATGGTGTGGGACTTCCAGATGCAGACAGACAAGCAAGTGCCGGCCAATCAACCAGACACTGTGCTAGTTGACAAGGACCGGAAGACAGCAATGGTGAGAGACATAGAAATTCCAAGTGACAGCAACATCAGGAAGAAGGAATCTGAGAAGCTGGAGAAGGACCAGGGCCTGAAGGAGGAACTAGAGAAGATGTGGAAAGTAAAGGCCGAAGTGATGCCAGTGGTAGTTGGAACACTCCTGGGACTCCTAATCTGCGGAAATGGTTCCAACAGATCCCAGGAACAACATCAGAGAGCCATCTGTCCAGAAGAGTGCAGTGCTAGGAACAACTGAGATCCTGCGTAGATCCTGCCTCAAACTCCCAGGCCTCTGATAGAGCACCCCAGATTGAGGAAGTCACATACTACCCATAGGGGTGAGAAGGGATTTTTTTTAAATAGACCTATTTTGGTTCATTTGCAGCAATCTTACCAATAGCCAGCAAAGGTTGTCGCCCTGTAGATGTGTAGGAGTTACAGTTCCCGGATAACTGTTTTCCATATGGTATGCAGGGCATCCCCTTGGGGAAGGTAACAAATGAGGACAGGGAAGACAAAATTATAGCAGCCTCAGTTACATAACTGAGCCTCCACTGCCTGCAACACATATGCGTGCACATGCACACACAGACACACACACAAGCCCTTTTCAAGCAGCATCTTCTCAGTCAGCCTCCAAATGTATCTTCACATTTTTGGATTAGACTCCTTTGCCCCCATACATTCTCTGCCAACTCTCTGGAGATAAAGTCAAGGTTTCAATCTGGCGTACTTAAAGAATAATCTAAATTAAGAGAGTGCAGAGTTCGGTGCCATTTAGGGAAGGGAGCAAGGAATCCTACACTTGGCAGGTTTTGCGGTAGCTGGTTAATTAGCACAAGAATTAATTGATTCCAAAGTGTTTCAAAAGATCAACTGACATCAGCCGCTTTGGCATAGTCTCAACAAAATCAGCAATGGGGCTTGACTGCACTTAGACCTCTCCATCGGCAGAAACTGTGAAGTAAAGTTATGATGCTTTTATTGGACTGGCTCAAATGAGCGGCGTGGTGGCCTAGTGGTGAAGATGCTCGCCTCCCACTCAGAAGGTTGAGAGTTCAATCCTAGGTAGTGGCAGATGTTTCTCTCCGAGGGCACAAAGAAAAAATAGACCTGCTGTGAACTCTGCATGGATTCAGGAAGGGCATCTGGCTAGTAAATGCTCAGCTCCATCCAGTTGCAAGGAAGGGATCTAGGCCATATCTTCCATTTGCAAGTCTTCTGAATTGTAATTGCGGTTGTAAGTTGATGACTACCTGAATAGACAGATACAGGTAGAGATACAAGTGCAGGTATCAGTATAGGTGTAGAAAGATGTATAAAACTTACAGGAGAACAATTTTGGATAGCATCAATTAAGGGAAATTCAGGGGTGGAAATGCTGAATTACCTTTCACCGAAGAGTTAGAATTGCAGATATTCATTCCATTGGGCATGTTATGAGCTAAGTCACACCTATGGGTGTATCTGGTTCAACTAATTGCAGCTTGCAGAAGGAGTTGTCTTCTCCAAGTTCAGAACCTCCAGATATGGACCAATAAACGGGGAGAGCAATGGTACCATCAGTGTAGGACTTTGAGCAACAATCCAGTGTCCCATTCCACAATTGTCTTGTGACTATAATTGTGTTCTTTATGTGGTTCTGCAAGTTAGAGTCATCCTTCTTTTCAACACATCAAGCAAAGTTGGTTGGTGCTGCCACCTGCTGCGGGCTCTTGATATAAAGACTGAGAAAAGACTGAAAGATTATGAAGGAGGAGGAGGAGGAGGAGGAGGTGTGACTGTGCTTGAAAGTTATTTTCCATCAAGATGATGATTGTGTCACTCAAGGAAAAAGACACAATACATGTGCTAACCTACCCTCCTGCTTTATTTTCCCTCTCCCTCCCCTCCCCCCCAATCCATTTTTACTCTTACACATTTTGTAGGGCTTCGGACAATTAGAGTTTGGATTCTTTGCGCTATAAAATGCAGGGTGTTTCAAAGTTGTGACATCAGTTTCACTTATAGATTGTTGCTGGAGGAAAGCGTAGGGCAGGTATATATATATATTCTTTGTTAGCAATTCAAATTTTGAAAAACACATATGATGTCGCAGTTAAGCGACTGCTGCCTGTGGATGGCTCTAGGTTGAGCTGATACCGGCAAAAGACTTCTCTCTCCCATATTTGGGCTGACAGGGTGCACTAAAAAGAAAAAGCATTCATCCTCTTCCCCTGTCTCTTGTAGCTAACAAAGTGAGAAAGAGCATGTGGCCTAGTGGCTAACACATCTACTTAACATGCAGACAGCCCAGGTTCGAATCTCAGAAGGGTATGTCTGGCTGATGAGAACCAAATAAGGTTTGAAATAGCTATCCCAGTACTCCCTTAATTCTTTGTTAGCAATTCAAATTTTGAAATATATATATGTGTGTGTGTGTGTGTGTGTGTGTGTGTGTGTGTGTGTGTGTATATATATGAGAGGTAGTTTGGTCTAGTGGTTAAGGTGCTGGCCTAGAAACTAGGAGATTGTGAGTTCTAGTCCTGCCTTTGCCATGAAAGCTGGCTGCGTAACTTTGGGCCAATCAGCAGGAGACTGAGTTCTAGTCCAGGGGTCCTCAACCTTGGCTACTTTAAGACTTGTGGACTTCAACTCCCAGCTGGCTGAGGAATTCTGGGAGTTGAAGTCCACAAGTCTTAAAGTTGCCAAGGTTGAGGACCCCTGTTCTAGTCCATCCATAAGTATGAAAGGCATCTTGGTAACTCTGTACAGGAGACTGTGAGTTCTAGTTCTACTTTAGGCATGAAAGCTGACAGGGTGACTTGGGACCAGTCCTTCTCTCTCAGCTCAACCCACCTCACAGGGCTGTTGTTGAGGGGAAAACAGGAGGAGGAGGGAGTGGTATGTATGTTTGCCATCTTGAGTTACTTAAAAAGTAATAACAGCGGGGCAAAAATCTAATAAATAAATAAGCAGGGGACATCAGCATGAGTGGGCTTTATGAAACTGACTAGAAGGCATTGTGAAACTGACCCAGGCTGGGTTTTCTGGTAAGAGCAGGGGATAAGTGTGACCAATGCTTATATCCCTTTCGGCTTATGCTTCTTCCATTCCGATGAAGTTTGCCAATCGGAAGCCAGAAATGAGATTTTTCTACTGCTCAAAGACTTAAACCAGCAGGATTTCAGAGCCAATCTCCGGACAATGCTCAGAAACCGAAATATTTCTTGTTTGCATTGCTTTGGTTTCCTAAGCAAAAATGTAGTTCCAACAACAAGGCTGGAGCAGACTTGAACAGCTGCAGCCTATTGGATCAGCTCCTCCTGCCTTGAGCTGCCCAACCATTGCCCAAACTCTCCACTCGAGAGCAATCCATTACTCGGAGACTGTTTCCATAGCAACCGGACTTCTGAATGGAGAAAGAGCACTTTTGAAAATCCAGCCCGAATCTGATGCTCAGGAGAACTCATCCCCTCCCCTGTTTGGATAAAGAGATGGAGTTTTCTCCAGATAGTTTTCTCCCCAATTCTTGGAGAAACAAAAGCATTTTTTTTAAAAAAAAAACAACCTACAGCATGCTTATACTTAAACCTTATCCAAAAATGGATAAGGTCCTTATTCCTTCCCCTTTATCCCTCAAAGGAAGTTATTAGAGAAAGAGATCGTATTAAGGTAAGCCTGGAAGAAAGACACAGCTCAGCAGCTGAGCACCTGCACTGCTCACAGGTCATGGGTTCAATCCCTAGCATCTCCCAATGAATCCCTTTGAAATCCTGGGAGCATCTGGTGCGAAGGGCCTCTCTATGCTAAGGTCTGGCAGAGGAACTGCTGATAATCTTTGCACCAGTGGAGGAAGGATGGACAGACTAATACGTTTCTGGATCTAATTATGGATCAAAGACTCCGTTGAATTGTGTTTTGATTAACCCAGGAGCCCCATCAACTGATGTAGGCAAGCAGGCAGTGACACCACGTGAGACGCTGACATTTGCTGGAGGTGCTATATAGCTTTCCAGAGGCGCTTTGACAACCTGGCAATGGGGTCTTGCTCC